CATACAGGATAGTAACATGGTGCATGAAACCAACGCCACTTTCAAATCTATATAGAGCAGCGGGTTTTGCAGAACTTTCAACACGCAGAGGCGCTGCAGAACACATAGAGAAAATTAAACAGATCGCGAATGATCAGCATGCCCTATACAAAGCTCGAACACCACGAAAGAGACTAAAATCTAGGAAAAGCTTCCTTGGAACAGTGCAGGATTTTCCACTTCCCCAGGTTCAATGGACCGGCAGACCCTAGACTTTAAAACGTGGAAAACCTTGAATAGGATAAGAACGGGGGTTGCTACAGTAAAATCAAACATGGCAAAATGGGGAAAAATAGACCAAGATGATGTGAACTGTGACTGTGGAGAAACACAGAATATGGAACATCTTCTTACATGCAGAAACTGTCCTCATAGATGTACCCTTGAAGATTTGTGGCTCGCCAACAAAGATGGAACCGACGTACCCCGATACTGGGCCGAAATTTTATAAATGACATGTCCGGACACGATAAAGTAAAGTAAAGTAACTGAGGATGACACAGATAAGATAATCAAGAAAATATCTCACTCCGAAGGACTAAGGCGATTGGAGCTGCCCTCGCCTACATTGAGCAACAGGAAGAGTCAACCACTACCGATGTCCTTTATCTCCAGCGTTGGCGCAACATCGAAGCGTCAAAAAGAAGCCAGAAATTATCGCAGAAATCTATCAAAAACTTTTTTAAAATATGAAGATGATCCAGTACGTAAATGTTTTCCTATTTATATATTTTAACTACGTAGTATGTATATAAGTTTACGTACTTTCTTCTTCTTCTTCTTCTTCTTCGTCTAGCCATTCACGTCCACATCTGAACATAAGCCTCTTCAAGTCTTCCTTTCCATTGTTTTTTACGTACTTTAATTGAACATAATAAAATAATTAAATACGTCATAACTTTTAAATTTTTTATTTATTTTAAGCAAATACCCAATTTCTGCGTTATTTGAGTTTTTCCGTATCTCAGGTATGCGCGGCCACAATTGGCTCGAATAATCGCAAGTCTAGTGTATTTTATTGACATAATTCATGCGGCACAAAACAGAGAAACCTATCGTATGATGGTTGCCAACCTTCGGTAGAAGACGGCACATAAAGAAGAAGAGTGTATTTTGCTTTTTCTCCTATACTCCCTTTGCTTTCAATCTTTACCTCTCAATCTTTAGAATATTCTTCTACTTCTTCTGTTGCATCTTCTTGTTGTTCTTCCGCTTCGATGAACTGAGAGTAACAATTAAAATTTTAATACGGGTCATATCTCAATGAGTGTCGTTTATGCGTCAGAGAAAGGTAAAAAAGGTTTTAAACAGCAGGTTTTTTATTATTATAAGTAATAAATTAACAATCAGAATAAAAAAATGTATTCTATAAGTTTATGTGATGAATTTAGGTCCTGCCCTTGAATTTGGCGTGATGTGATCCCCTCCAGTAAGAGAATCATGTATTCATGTTACTGGTCTTTTTGCCAACTTCGCTGTAGTCTTCTAATAACTTGATTGACTTGCGGTATTATGGAAATTAATGGATTGGGGTGCGTGTTCACTTTTTCAATGTATTGTGATTTCTTTCGCTGGATTACTTATTTTACTGTCGAGATGTTGAGATCCTCATAGATTCTTTGGTTGGTTACGTACCAGAGTGCATCAACAATTGCACAGATTTTTAATTGACATCTTTCCATTATAGCAATATTGAATTTACTTCTACAGCCCCAAAGCTCTATGAAATATGTTCATTATTATTATTGATTATTCAAAGATTTAGCCATACGGCTTACACTCCCTGTAAGGGGAAAATTCACTCATTCCAAATACCTACAGTATCAAAATGATTAAGCTCTGGTGGGACTCTTTCCGTGTGTTCAAAAATTTTCGAACACATATGGACGTTGCGAGGAGTACATATTTCTGCATGTCTTATAGATATGTTGATTTTGACTCAGTGTTTTATGTTCTCTATGAGGTTTTAAGGAATAACACCAGTAGTAGATAGAATAATAGGTGCTATCTGAGGACTTTCCATTGTCTATCGTCTCCTGATTTTCTAGTTCTCTGTACTACTTGACGATCTTTTCGTTGTATTTAACACGTAAGTTATAGGTGTTGGGTATCGCCACATCAACAAGTGTTGTTTGTATAGTAAGTTTATTAACTAGTATGAGATCCGGTCTATTATGTGCCACTGGTTGATCAGTGAGCACAGTGCGGTCTCAGTATAGCTTGTACTTGTCATTTTCAAGCATTTTGTCAGGAACATATTGATAATAAGGAACATGGTCGGTTTGGAGAAGTTCCAGTTTATCAGCTAGTTCTTGGTGGATAATGTTTTCTACTGACTCATGGAGATCTTTATAATAAGTACTGACAAACACCTATTTTTTTTGGGAGGTGAGAATCTTCAGAAGACCGTCAGGGAAGCTGTCCCTGACGATCCCCCATAGCTCCCCCTAACACCCATAGCGTGAATTCCATGGATTGATCAGCTTCACGGACGCCTTCTCCGCCCAGGCCCCGCACAGCGAAGCGACCGAGGTCGGAAAAGAGGGCGGTCGGGACTCTTCCCACACAAGATGGAACCAACCCTAAGATGTTAGTCAGCAGTTACGAATAACTCCAGTCGTTCATACCTTCATCTATTCACTCTTTCTCATCCACCCATTTATCTATACTTAGTCTCATTTAACTCCAGTCAGTCCTTACTTTCATCTAGACACACCTACTCATCCATCTATTCATTCTAACATTTAGATGGGGCAGTCTGTGTAGGTCGGATGTAAAAGGTCCTTCCCTGCTGACTGTCGCCAGACGAAACATGACATAGTTTAGAGTAATAGAGAAAGAAAAAAAGAAATAGAAAGAGGGAAAGAGGAAGAAGGATGAAATGAAAGATAGAAAAGAAGCCAAAGAAAGAGGGAAGAAAAGATAGAGAAGATTAACAGGAAAAGGAAATTGAAAGTAAAATTGTTTAGCAAACAATAGCGTATAAATAAAATCAAATCAAGAATAAAACAACGATAAAGTAAATAAATGTATAAAACTATGCTAAAATAAATAAGTAAAACCGTGTAAAAATAAAATAGGATAGATTAAAATTAGACACTCAGTGTGGTTTGGGTGTATAGGGTCCTCTCCCCACTGGCTGCCTTTTACGACACAGGACACGTTAAAAAATAAATATACGGTTATCCTGTCTGCAGTCGTCTCTCTCTTTCTTCTTTATGTTTTATTGTCTGTGTGACAAAAGCAATGATCAGGTCGAAGTCATGCTTGCTGTCGGTAGCTTTATCAATTAGCTCGCGAGGCTGGCCTAGGGGGGATCCCAGGCCCAGCTGCAGCTCGGTGCGCCCCACGTGATATTCGGGGCATACGAACACGACATGCAGCGCGTCATCCACCACCCCGCACTCAAGACATAGATCGTTCTCGGTTTTCCCTATACGATAGGTTTATTTCCTGAACGATCCATGTCCTGTCAAGAACTGTGTGAAGTAATAGTTGACGCGCCAATGTCGACACCTGTACCACCTCACTGCGTCCGGGATCAGGGATCTCGTCCAGTTAGCCTTCCCGACTTCGGCTGCCCATTCCCTCTGCCACGTCTCTAGATTTGTAGCTCTTTCCCGTGGCTCGAACCTATCGCTCCGTTGTCCCTTTGGTACATTTTGGCTCTCTCCCTGGCCAAGATATGCACCGGTACAGAACCGGCCACCACCTGTAAGGCAATGGTTGATACAGTCCTGTACGCACTGCACACCCTGATCAGGGGTTTCCTCTAAGCCCTAATAAGCATGTCTTTGTACTTTTTCCTCCGAAGGACCTCGTGCCACACTGGGGCCCCGTATAGTATTATGGACAGTATTGATTGAAGCAATACTGTCCTCTTTTGGGATCCGGGTCCCCCGATGTTATGCATTAACTTGTTCAGTGTTGAGGTCCTTTCTTCCGCCTTCCGACATGCTTCTTGCACATGCTGTCCGAAAGAAAGTCTGTCATCAAAGGTTATTCCTAAGTACCTGACTATCCTTTGGGGTCTTATTTCGGAGTCTTGATATGCGAAGATTATATCGTTTCTTTTTCATGGTCCCCTCAAGATTATTGCTTCTGACTTTTCTACTGCTAGTTTTAGGTCGTTCTTCTCTATCCACGCCGAGGTCGTTCTTATCGCATTATTTATCTTATCTTTTATTCCCAAATTCTTATCGTCTTCGACCAGTAAAGCTAGATCGTCCGCGTATGCTATCGCTCTCACTCCTCTCTTCTTATGTATTTCTAGTACCCCGTTATATAGTATGTCCCAAAGTTATGGTACCAGGACTAACCCCTGGGGTACTCCCGCGGTCATTTCTTTCTTTTTCTTCTTGGATATACATACGGATCTTTCCGATAAGTAGTCCTTTATTATGTTGGACATTTACTCTGGAGCCCCAATTTCAACGATTCGGTCTACTATGAGGCCCCAATTTGCTGAATTAAAAGCATTTCTTATGTCCAGCAGAACAAGGGCCACCCATCTTTTCTTGCTTGTCTTGGCCGCGTCCCTTATCCAGGTTGCGGCATATACTGTCGATCTGCCTTTTCGGAATCCGTATTGTTGGTTTGATAGCATTCTCTCATCTTCCAACACGCGCTACAGCCGCTTTTTGATAAGTTTTTCATAAAACTTACCAAGGCAGTCCAGGAGGCATATTGGCCGATAAGAGGCCGCTGAATCGAAACCGCCAAACACCTGGCAGCTACCGGTAAGATGTTGCATGGTTTCTTGGACTTGGTTCAAGAAAATTTATTATTATTATTTAAATTTTATTATTCATTGACAGCTTAAAGTTTTTCCAATTAACCAATTGATTTCTTTTTGCCTTAGTTGTTATTTTTTTGCTGATGTGTTTCTTCTAACACAGGGTTTAGGTGTAGGGTAATATTTTTAGAAATTCAAATCAGGAAAAACCAGTAAAACCAACTTTAAATAATATTTTATTTATTTTGAAAAGAATATAACTTCTACTAATTGAAAAACATTTCTTAAATCGGATATCATTGCCCATTCTTTCAAAAAAACATTACTTTCTAGTGCGCCAGACTGATTACGTATTCGCGAAAATTTTAAGCTGCAATTTCGCCTATTCTACATACATTATTTCCTCGAGAAATAGGTAGTCGTACATTAGAAAGTAACTGAAGAGCTTTAAGCAATACAAACGTCTGAATATGTTAATATAAATACAATCAGTAAAGTAAGAAATAAATACGTGTCTAAGTCTTAAAAAAGCGTTTTGTCTGATGCGGTATGTGCAGCTCATCAAGCTGTGACCATTGGTTTACAAAGTGAATAAAATTTATGCTAATAGTAATAATCAGTTATTTATTATTGTTATTATCAGTATCATATACCATTAAGTGAAAAGTTTATGAACATTATCTCTATTGCTCGCTTTTTAGACAAAATTGTTATACTATTATACAAATACTGTTACTACTGGTCTACCTCAGGTGATTTTTGTCTGTAGTTTTTTCCTAATTGTTTATTTTACTCTCCTGTTCTGCCCATATCGAACAAATCGGTTCCATATTTTGTTGGTGTGAGCTAGACAACTTGCTATATTTTCTCGCTTTTTCCTCAAAACTCTCTCCTTCGCCCTTTCCATTTCTCACCACCTCCCCCTATCAACATTTGTTTGAGTGTATGTATGTGCGCATATATCATATATTTGACATTATCATCAACACACTTTTGATGTAGGTAAGTCTATCAACACCTAGTTTATTTTCTTTTCTCTCTGCGCCAATATAATCTTTTTTGAATGGAAAATAAGTTAATTTAATAAAATAATAATCAAAATAGCACTCAAAATAAAGTGATGAAAAAACTGTAAAATGATGAAAAAGAAAAAATTAAGAATGATAATCAGTTGCCAGTCATTCATAAAAACAGCGAGGTAAATTTTCCAGTCAGTACTATTTTTTATAAATGATTGAAATGGTAAACCATTTTAGGAACGGAAAAAATAGGATAGAGTAAAAAATTTAACAGCGATGGTACAAGAGATGAGGAAATAACAACGAAGATAAAAAAGGAAGACATAAATGAAAATAAAAAGAAAGCATTCGAAAGAAATTGATAACTCATAAAAATTAAAATATTATTAAATAAATAGAAAAATAGAAAAAAAATAAATAAAAGTTAAACTATTATTAAAACAAAAACAAAGATAAATCAAAGACAGAATTAAATAAATCGATGAGCATCTAAATCAACTCTTTCAAGAGAAAGAAGGAACTAAAATAAATATAAACTCATCATCCTAGTCATTAAAATCTTAGAAGATATGTTGTGGTCCATCATTGAGCTTCAGCAGCTCGGATAGTTTGATTACTGATAGTTCTTTACTAATCGCCGTCATCTATTACATGTGTTGCCGTAGTATACTTTTTAATGAGCAGCTCTTTCGTAATGTTTGCCCATCACTGATGATCTGCTGCATTAACGTTGATTCTGTGGCCTTTCTTGGACCACCAGTTGCTCCATTTAGTAATCTCTTCCATGACCAAAAAACCTAAAAAAATTCTACAGTAAATAGTACTAGAGATTCGTTGATTGGATTAAAGTTTATCTAGAACCGAGACATTCGTTCGGTGATCCGTCCAGAGAATTCGAAGCAGTGGTCTCCATGGACATATTTCAAACGCATGTATGCGTCGTATATTTGATTCTTTGACTGCCCATATTTCCTATGCATAGTAAAATATGGAAAAGACCAGAGTTAAAACAGATCTCTGTTTATTTGTCGTAGATCACGGATCACGCCTTACCCCGTTTAGTTCGGTCATTGCTGCTCTTGCTAGTTGTATATGCCTTCGAATTTCGGGTTCACAACTGTCTGTATTGTTAACCAGAGCTCCAAGATATATCATAGACGAGACTAAATCGTATCCCGCAATAGCTCGAGTTTAAGGATAGTGTTGGCGATCAATAACCATGATTTTGGTTTTGTTGAAATTAACTATGAAAGCAAACTTATCACTTTTGGTTTCAATAAAAAACTAAAATAATAAAACATGCAAAGTAAAAGAATTAAAACAACATATTCATGAATGGATTTACATTTGATATATAACCAAATAGTTTTAAAATAAGAAAAGATAAAATTTACGAGGTATGCAAAGATGAGACAGCTAAATAACTGACAAATCATATGTAACCAATTTTCTTAGCTTTTCTAAGCTAAATTGCACAATGTGAATTTATTTGAAAATAAAATATAAAATATTACTCCTTGATAACACATAAAAACTATCATTCACTTTGTAAAGAACTCAAATTCAGATTGCCATACTTAGCGGGTATATATACTCTAAGTATATACAGATTATTATACAATTTTTTTTACAAAATTATAAACAAAAACGCGAAATAACAACAAAATTTAACCCAACTCTGAGAGAACCGAATCTAGATCCTCTTGCAAAGAAGCCGTTAATTCCTTCTGTTTGTTCAGATCGTCTTGTATCCTCTCCGCGTTCGTTTTCAATAAAAAGTTTCCCTTCTTTAATGCGTTTAATATGTTCTCGTGTCTTTTCGTTCTTGCAGTCAAGTTCGTCTTGTGTTTGTCACTGGGTGCGTCTTCGTCTTCACTTTGACTTTTCTCGGAATCGGTGTCCTCGCTGTCACTTTCTGATTCTTCTTCCTCGCTGCTTTCTTCCTCTTCCTCGGATTCTTCCTCTTCGGCTTCTTCCTTTTCTTCTTCTTCCTCTTCCTCGTCGTCGTCCGTGTCTTTCATGAGAGATGCCATTTTATCAACCTGAAATTTAGAAGGAAAATTATTTACATTTATTATTTATCTCAACAATTTTAGGTCTACATTGCTTCTTAACAAAAGAAATTTTTTATTGACGTTAGTATTCTCAGTTTCATATAGAAAGCGATTACAAAATGATGAAACCTAACATAACTAAGTAGGTCTAAAGAGAAAAATACAAGATTAAAAGAACTAAAAGAAATCCAACACGTAGAAACTTATAGACGATCCGATAAAATAAAAGTAAAGGAGTTCTATACAGATTGAACGAAATAAATTCGGAACATAGGAAATATTATGTATTCCGGCTCAATTTTGCTGTAAGTGGTTGGCCAACAAAAGGTTGTCAAATAATTATATTATAAAAATCCAATATTTCAGCGGGCTGCTGGATTCTGAAATCATAAAACTTGAAAGCTACACATAAAACTACGATTTTATTATGCTGTCAAACCACTTAGACAAGCCCTTCTTTAAGCGGTGTTGTCAACCTCATTCCTTTAGATATTTCGCAAATAAGGTGTTATCCATAAAATATTTACAAGAAAAAAAATAAAATAACTACAAAACATTAAGTTTATTTTTGTTATTAGTCTGTTGTATTAGATTGGTAAATACACTGAAAAATATAGGCAAATACACGATTTATTTAAAGATACGAAGAAGATATAACTCTCAAAAAGATCCCAAATCGGATTATTACACGGCGATTGGCAACATTGTTACGCAAACAACATTGTTGTGAAACAGATAGTTGAACGATATTTTATACAATGTCTAAACCCAGGTATGGATTTATTTTTGTCCAAGTTTTATATTGGTCCACTAGTTCAAATGCAGTTCAAACAGACATAATATATTAAATTGTATGATCCGTTTTAAATTCGTTCAATCTGTATATATATATCGTTCTGAAGAAACTAATAATAAAAGAAAAATTTTATTGACGTTAGTATTCTCAGTTTCGTATAGATATATATATATATATATATATATATATATATATATATATATATATATATATATATATATATATATATACAGAATTACCAAAAGAGAAAGACAAATAGTAGCCAAAGTAGAAAAAACCTCCCTCAAAGTTAGTCACTCTCTATAAAAAAAAGATTGTAACAAAGACAAATTCAATATAAGGAGAAGAAGTTGCACTGATCTTTGAAAAATTTAAGAAGGCTATAAAGTCTATAGAAAGATTTAAAAAGTATAAAACAGCTGGATTGTTTTAAATTAATAATTTGCTGACTCCGTGGCATTACAACCCTTCGTGGGTTTTAGCCAACTTGACAACATGCCTTAATTCGTAGCAATCTCCATTCAATTTTTCACGTCCATAGCTTTAACGTCTCTTGCTATATTTTCTCTCCACCGGAGTCGAGGTCGTCCACGTGGTCTTCTTTCAATTGGGGCTTCTTTCTATACCAGTCCTACTATTCTTTCGTCAGAATCTCTTATGAAGTGTCCTGTCCACTGGAGTCTTCCGGACTTTATTTCTTTTATTATGTTAGCATCTGGATATAGTTCTTCGAGCTCTTTGTTAGTTTTTATTTTATATTGTCCTGCTGCTCCATCAAGCACAGGGCCAAAGATCTTTCTTAGGATATTTCTTTCCCAAACACGTAGTCGCTCTTCGTTTGCTTTTGTTATCGTCCATTGTTTATAAAAGACCGAATATCTGGTTATTGAAAAAGTAGATCAAAATAATCTAGTGCTAGACCACTGTAAAATTAGAAATAGTACCTACGTACCAATAAATAAATACCACTAAAAGAAAAAAAAATATTAAAAGCAATACACCTACTTCTTTTTTTAATTGTTTATACTTCTTCTTCTCGTCCTTCATTTCAGTCTGGTGCTTCTTGATAATCTCCCGTAGTGCGACTCTCTCCTTCTTCGCATTATCCTCCTTAGTTTTCAGACTCTGCAACTTTTTCCTTAGCATCTTTACCTCCTTCACTAGCCTCTTTTCTTTTTTCTCTTCAGTATCCTCTCCATCGCTCTCTTCTTCTGGCTCTTCATCCTCGAAGTCGTCGTCGCTTCCTGGAGCAGCTCCGCTTTGTTTCCGGTCGGAGATGGAGAATCTCTTGCCTGAAATTGAAAAAGGTTTAAGAATCTTTAAGAAACACGCGAAATTTTTGGCGATATAGAGACATTATATTTGACTGTAATTATATTAGAAAATATAAGTACAATTTTATTTCTATGTATTTTCTAATAGTATTACTTAATGTTTGAGATATATTAATAGGGTTTCAGGCTATGTCATTTCCAATATTTACGTTATTGCAGTATTTTCCAATTCCTTGTTTAACAAGTTAAAAAATTAAGTAAAAACTCAACTATACTACAAGTCGTACCACGTGGCAGCATCTAATCTGGGTGGTAGAAAATAGAAACCACTTAACTTGTAGCGTTTTATATTTAATGTCTAAATAATAATATAAATTCGATTCTATATTTATCATAGTACGCCCCTGGTATGCTAGAAATGTGTTGTCTGTAGAGATTTTTAAATACGCAATAATTCTTCAAGAAATAAAGACGTATTTGCTAAAGAAAACAATTTATGGCTTTTTAACTTCAACGTTCCCAGAAAAATATTGCAAGCCTGGTATTCTTTTTTCTAAAGCGTAGTAACGCCGGAAGTTTGAACGAGTTTGAGTAAAGAATTTGTTGATTTGACAAGATGGCAATGGTTGTGAGGGGAAAAGAGAGTGGTTCGTAGTTCTCTGATCGAGGTCAAGAGAGTGAGTGATGAAGAAATGCTCGAAGGGAAAGGTCATTTAATTGTGATGTGGTAAGCCGGCATTAATTCACCAAAAATGGTGGAATTTTCACTCTATGTAATATGTCGTTTCTGAAAGAGTGACCACTAACCACTGTTTTGATTTTGCTGAAGATTAATAATGTTTGAAAAGTGACCAAATTTAGTTCCTGCTTTCTTTTCGTTTTTTTTTTTTTTTTGAGAAATCCAGTTCCTTTCCAAGATGCCTCTTCACCTCACGTAGAATGATATTGGAGCAGTTTTGATTTGAATGTGCCAGTGTGAGAGTTTTAGCCTCCAAGAAAGTTTTCCGTTGATGAATGATCAGTTAGATACCCTACAGATACCTATTAGCCAGTTGTTCAAAAGTTTAAGTTAACATGTGTGAACTGAGGTAACATTTACGTTATTAATTTTAAAGTAAAAATAGACATTTTCTTTTAAAAAGACAAAATTTGCTTTCTTTTATAAATTATTTTTTTAAAAAAAATTTGTAATTAAAATAAATATTATGTTAGGGCGTGGTTTAAACTGTCATGTCATAATTTTATCCTGTTTTAAAAATGTTTGTTTTGACGTATGACAGTTTGATTTTTAATCTGTTGTAAACAGATATTTTGATTTTATAGTAAAGATTAAATTTTATTTTTCACAAAAGGATATCCATAAAATTTTAATCTAATTTGGCCACGTTATTTACTAGGAACCATTTCGAAGGTTTTTGTAACCTCTTTGTAAACAGATAACATGTAAGTTTCTTTGTTTGTATTTAACAACCATTTTTATATAGTATGCATTTTGTATAAGCTGTATTTAAAAAAAAAACTGTTTGTTTGAGACAATAATAAACGTTAGATTTGATTCTCTAACCTATTTTTTTATTTTTATTTAGAAAAATCTCCTAAACCCTCTTTATGTATTTTAGAAATTAGGGAAGAAGAATTTTTTCTTTCCTTCAGTAAAATAGGATCCTTCACGTGGCGCCCTATATTAAATTCCTTGAGGTGTTCCCAGTCTACTTTTGATTTGTTTGTTTTATCAATTGCCCAGGATATTTATGTAAGTATCCCTTTGTCTTCATTTTAGTAGATACCCCAATCCAACCCCCATATTTTAACTTATCCACGACCCAGCTCTCCAACAACCAACTGAGTGTCGTTCGCACTTGTTTCGATTATTTTGCTTGCCCAATCTTCTACCCCTCATGTTCTTACCCTGAGGTAAGCAAAATATTGTCGTTACAAACTACGTATCGACAGCTAGCATTAGGCTATGTCCGTGGAAATCGAATGCAGCCGACGGCGACGTCTGTTCAGATACAGTGCGAATAATTATAGAATGTAGCTTTCTTAAGCTCCGCTGTAGTCGAAGATAAAAAGGTCCGTTGTCTTTTTCATTACGTTGAATTTCATTAGTGGATTTATAAATACTTTTTTAATAAAATGCGTTATGCTTTCACGGCCATCGTCTAACTTGTTAAACTATTGTCGTCTGATATTAGTTCTCGACGTTTCGCCAACACTTGGGGTTGGCATCTTCTGGAAATGTTATTGCTTTGCATGTAAGCTGAAACTGACGTCGCCCATTTCATCGAGAAGATCAAAGGAATAACTTTACAGAAATCTGACATTATTGTTAGCTTTGATGTTGTTTCCCTATTTACAAGAGTTCCCCTAGAAGACGTTCTGAATTTAATTGAGGGACTAGTTTCCAAGGATATGGTGGAATTATACCGTATTTGCCTAACTACCATATACTTTTCATGAAAAGACCAGATTTATGAACAGATAGGTGGAGTAACAATGGAAAACCCACTAAGCCCGGTCGTAGCTAACGTTTTCATGGAGCATAGAGCACAGAGAAGAGGGTAATGGACTCACCATACAAGCCAAGGGTATGGTTTAGATACCTCGATAACACTTTTGTGATTTGGGGTCACGGAGTAGAAAAACTTAACGATTTCTTGTCTTATATAAACACACTATATCCGAATATTCAATTTACGATGGCAACAGAGGAAGATCAATAATTAGCTTTCCTAGATGTATTAGTATAACGAAAAGAAGGTTACTTAGGACATAAAGTGTATCGATAACCTACACATACAAGTAGATACCTAAACAGGAACTCAAATCATCATCCAGGCCAAAAACAAAGTATCATCAAAACTCTGACGGAGAGGGTGAAAAGAATTTGTGAACTACAGCATCTGCAAAGTGAAATTCTTCATATTAAAAAGCTCTCACCTCTAATGGTTATACCAGAAGAGAAATACACAAAGCGATGAACAACATATCTAGAAGAAAGGACGAAGAAACAGAATGTAGAGGCAAAGCGTTTTTGCCCTATATATCGGGGGTAACGGACAGCATTGGGCGAATACTTAAAAAAGCCAACGTAAAGACAAGTTTCAAGCCTACAAAGAAAATCGAGGACTGTTTAAGATCGATGAAGGACAAACGTGACCCATTAGTAACTCCCGGTGTATACCGAATACCATGCACATGTGAAATGGTATATGTGGCGACCACGAAAAGACACACAAACACAAGGATAAACGAACATAAAAGCCATTGTCATTTAACACAGCGACTTAGATGGGCTGGACACATAATACGAATGCCAGACAATACCATTGCTAAAAAGCTAACCACAGGAACACCTGTAGGAAAAAGAAGTAAAGGCCGACCGCGAATTAGGTGGTTAGATGGAGTAGAAACCGACTTACGAATATTAAAAATCAGAAGATGTCAACATGTTGCCAAAAACCGAACAGAATGGCGACGAATCTTAGAGCAGGCCAAGATCCACAGAGGATTGTCGAGCCAAAGATGATGATGATGAAAAGCCATTGTCATTTAGGACATATCGACAAATCTGCCGTTTGCCGGATACTGTTCGAAGAAACTCAGATGCTGGATAAAACATCACAGTACTATCCACGGTGGTATCGGGAAGAGGTGGAAATATATAAGCACCCAAATAATTTTAATCGAATAGAAGAAGGACTAAAAATTAAAAAAATATGGATACCAATATTAAAATTCACAAACGCCCTTCCCGCAAAACACGAAGAAAGAAAAGCTACTACAAACGACGATACACCTACAAACGACGACACCCCCTCACGCCGAACCCGGGGGGAGGCGAGTGATAAATATTTTTTTAATGTTCAACACTTATCAATATCTTAACTTCCTTATAATAATAGTGATAATATAAGACCAATACCAATATTTATAAGCACTTTTCTGCTTATAAAATCCATTTAGACTAACAATAATAGGGATATTGTTGTTTTTAAGAAACTACTTCGCAATTGTCGTAGACCAAATATTCCACTGCAGATTCATTTTCTGTCCCGCTTTATGAGGTATACACCAATCAAACCAAATCCTGAGAAAGCTGACGAGTATCAAAAATTATTATAGTATATTAAAGGAAATAAAAATGTTTTAAAAACAAATTTCCATGTTTTTTAAAGTATGAATTTGAGACCTTGTAAAGAGAATCAGTTTAAGAAAACAGTACAAGTATTCCTCTCGATCTTGTGTGGCTCTAAAGAGTGCATGGGCATCGAGGTTTGTCCAATCCCTTATATTTTTAAGCCATGAGTATTTCTTTCTGCCCTTCCATAATAATCTTTAAGAACTGGAATTTCGAAATATATGACCCAGATAAGCAGTTTTTCTTCTTTTTATTATTGGCAGCAATTCTCGTTCTCTTCCCATTCGATTTAATACTTCAACATTTGTTGTGTGATCTGTCCAGTAGTCTTCTAAATACTTACATTTCAAAGGCCTCCAATCGGTTCACACACGTTGGCCTTTATGGTCCAGGTTTCTACACCATATAGCAGTATGGAGTAAATGTAGTACTTTACAAAGCGATATCGAAGCGTTAAGTTAAGGCTGATGTTGCTAAGCAAGGTTCTCATATTAGTAAATGCTGTTCTGGCTTGTTCAATCCTGCTACGTATCTCTATGTCTGGATCTAGATCTTTAATTATCCAACTACCGAGATATCTGAGTTTGGGGACCTTTTGGATCTTCTTATTGTTTACTCGTATATTTAATTGCTTATTTCGTGTTCTACTAACCACCATTACCTTCGTCTTATCTATATATTCAAGCCCAGTCGTTCGTCCAGTGTTTATTCTATCTATTAGTCTATCAGCTATTATGACTGTATCATCAGCATAGTGAAGATCACTAATAGTCTGTCAGTTGATTTTGATTCCATCTTCAGTATCACTTAAGGCTCTATCTAAAATCGTTTTAGAGTAAAGATTAAAAATGAGGGTTGACAGAACACAACCCTGTCG